GGCTCCCCCAAACCCCCCCTAAACGAAGGAGGATGAACGCCGCTTTATGAAAAGTCACCGCCCCAGTGATGTAAGCTTGGGAAAGGATGAGGTAACTAGAATTCCCTTTCTGTGTGGTAAACCTGGGGCTACCGCCCCAGTGATGTCTATTCAGAGTTGGGCATTATTCGAATAAATTGTTATTTAGATAATTATTCGAATAAAATTTTATCCGTAATATAATTATTCGCAGATAACTTATTCACGAATAAATTATTCGTGAATAAATTGCTTGCGAATAATTTATTCGTTATTTTAAATAATGAATAAAAACTCATTTTTAACACACTGAGCCACCTTTTACTTTTATTTCTATTGTCAAGGATTGTAAGTTAGCTGAATTTTGTTTACTATTTTATCAAGAATACCCTCTGGTTTCGCGGCCCCTGATAAGATTTTTTGCGTTGGCCAATGCAAGAATAGCGTTGAAAACCAAATATGGGTAAAGTAAAAATTCTCACACATATTTCGGTCAAAAAAATTGCGCTCTGATGCTATATGCAAGAAAAAATTCCTTTCAATGTCATGAGCTTTACCAATGGTCTTATTTCCACTTGTGAGATCTTTTCTAAGCGTGCGTGATCTTCTTCTATGATCTTGCAACTACAACATTGGTCTGATGCGTCAACCTCTAGTATTATGTCATGTAGGCCAACAAAAGTCCTTATAAGGATGCTGAAGAGCACAGATGTGCGTTTTCTATTATAGGAGAGCCAAAAATCCTCGATGTAAAATTTGGCCATTGATATAGGAATTGGAAGGATGTGGTCGAAACTTTCCTTGCTGATTCGCCACTTTTAAAATATCCAAGAGCTGGTTTCCTTGAGTCTTACTGCTGCAGCAATGGCCGCCCGAGCAATTTCATCAATCGGAGGTAGATGCAAGGTCGCATTTAGGGTATATGACGACGTGGGACATCGTAAATTCGTATAATATAAACATAAAAAACAAAGGAGTCCAGACATATGGGGTTTCTAGAGATTTCGACTGCAGCACGATTATGAATTGCAACCTGATTGTACAATAAGTAGGGATTTTCTAAATAACTCAACTGTAGCGCCACCTAGCGGGTCCATTTTTCGCATAAGTATTTTTCATCATGCAGGAAGAACACATTTTGAATTTGCACGAAATCAGTTCATAAATACGGCTTTTATAAATAACTCGGCTCCATCGCCACAAAGCAGTTTTCTAGTAGCCTTTAATAGGACTTTATGCGCATGGAATAACCTCCGAAAATTTGATTTAAATCTATCTAGGGGTTTGAGTTAAATCACAACAACGAAAACGGTTATCATTTTATACATAAATATATGTACATATCTATATACATAAGTTACTTGTTTTATTATTATTTTATTCGTTATTCGAATAATTAATGAAGATAATAGTTATTCGAATAACGAATAACATAATTTAACCGTCATTCGAATAATTTTTTTTTGAATAAACAAAATTATTTATTATTGTTATTCGTCATTCGAATAAATTTTGCCCAACTCTGTGTCTATTTTGGTTACTGGGTGTTTTATAAAAATATCTTGTATACAAAAATGTATATACAAATTTATAACAAAAATTTGCAACAAATACCATATTTCCAACCGACGTTATTGTTAAATTAGGAACAAATGCACAATACCACCAAATCTCGAATTAAAAAAAAAAAATAGGATCGATAGAGACCATTGAGGTGAACATAACGGTATATTTATTTTTTTTGGGAAACAACAACTACAACAATTATTAAAGGTCAAAGTTCAAATTACGCATTTTCTCAAATTAATATTTCTCGAAAACCTCTTCAAGGAATTGGACAATTTTGATAGAGAATTTAATTTTCTTTAATTTGATATACATATTTATACATATACCTTTTTATAGTTTTCACGAAAATGGAATTAATATGGAAAAAAAAGTATACAGGGTTTTTGTGTATAAACTTCTTTTTGCGTAGGCGGCCTTCGGCCGCACTTATGGATTATAACCCTCACAAAGTAGAATTCTCTTTCTGTATTGCGAAGAAAAGGCGCTGAACACCTTTTGCAGAGAACACCATTCTGCGTAGGCGGCCTTCGGCCGCACTTATGGATTATAACCCTCACAAAGTAGAATTCTCTTTCTGTGTTGCGAAGAAAAGGCGCTGAACACCTTTTGCAGAGAACACCTATCTGCGTAGGCGGCCTTGGGCCGCACTTATGGATTATAACCCTCACAAAGTAGAATTCTCTTTCTGTGTTGCGAAGAAAAGGCGCTGAACACCTTTTGCACAGAACACCTTTCTGCGTAGGCGGCCTTCGGCCGCACTTATGGATTATAACCCTCACAAAGTAGAATTCTCATTCTGTGTTGCAAAGAAAAGGCACTGAAACCCCTTTAATAATTGTTGTAGTTGTTGTTTCCCAAAAAAAAAAAAAAATACATCGTTACACTCACCTCAATGATCTCTATCGATCCCCATATGAATTTTTTTAATTTGAGAATTGTACGTATTCTGCATTTATGCCTTAAATTGTTGCACAGATTTAGTAAATTAAATTTTTGTAATAAAGCGTGAACTGTTGTTTACAAGTGTGTGTAAAAGTTTTTTGATTCGATTCACGCGTTTGGGCACATCAACCCAAAATCGTTGTACAAATTCATAAAGCGTACCTGGAAGCCCTTCAATTTGTACCACTCCATACAAAAAAAGAAAGGAGAAAGGAATGTAGAGTGGAAGGCCTTTCGGAAGGGCTTTTAACTCCTGAAATTATCTACTGGGTAATGAGGGACAATTTATGTATGTGAACTTATTTCTCTTCGTGATAGTTTCCTAAAACACTTACATATGTATGTCGCCGTTCAGCAATGCCAACTCCGTTTCACCTTTTTGTTTTGAAAATTATAAAAATAATCAAAAGAGTTGCGTCAAAATCAAATTAATGCGACACGAATGTCTATGTGAGGCAAAACTTTCTGGGAATACCTGTGAATAATTGTATCTGATGTACAAGTACAAACAATGGTTAATGAGTGTTTTGGTACCCAATTTTTTTAATACGTCCATTTAAAAAAATACTCTTCAATATTTTAAACTTCATACCAGACGTGGAATTTTGACACATACTAGTATTTGCTTTTGGTTTTAAAGTTCCTTCACATCACCATTTGTAAACGATTTCTGCATACAAAAGCAATTCAAACCTTTACCTTAGATTTCCATTTCACTAAACCGGCAAACTAGAAATTTTTCTAAATATGTGAAACGACCTATACTAGTAAACAATGTAAAACTTAACATTGTTTTCAACTGACAGATGGTTTGACGTACATATCCACATCGTCTTCAAAAGAGTCACAACTTATAATTTCGCATTTTTCAATTAATGCGCTAAAAATGTACAGAGCTTTTATTTACCTTTCAGCAAAAGCTGGAGGAAATTTCTGTTATAATTTGGTAAAAAAAAAACCTAAGGTATACTCGCCCTTGCCCATATCATGTGCCAAAAAATAGTTTTTCGCACTTTCTGCCAACCGTATTATTTTGAGTTGTGACTCTTTTGAAGACGGTGTGCATGTATAATTTTAATGCGTTCGGAAATAAGCGTTATAAGATTAATAAATACTAAAGCCTGCTATCAGTGATAGGACTCCTCCACATTGTGGTAGATCTAACACTTTTTGCAGCATCCACCACATCTACCACACAAGGTCATGGTGCAGCGAACAAAGGTANATAATTTTAATGCGTTCGGAAATAAGCGTTATAAGATTAATAAATACTAAAGCCTGCTATCAGTGATAGGACCCCTCCACATTGTGGTAGAACTAACACTTTTTGCAGCATCCACCACTTCTACCACACAAGGTCATGGTGCAGCGAACAAAGGTGTGCCGTCAGTGGTACCGCCACTTTGGTCTTGCCGATTTTGACAGTTGGGGTAACTTGTAAATAAACCTTTGTTTACAAATCAGCGAAAGAGAAATATGAATTATAAGTGAAAAATCAGTTTAAATTGTGTTAATTTGCAATTTGTGAGTAATTTTTGAGTGGAAGACTGCGTAAAAACTAATACAATGAAGTGATGTGTGTTAAATTGCGACAGCCGTCAAGATGCAAGAAGCGTAGATGCAACTGTAGCGCTGGGACGAATCGCTGCATTTTGTGTACATAGGGCACGGCAAAGCCGTTCCCGACATGTTTCTCTATTATTATATTAACAGCATTTCCTCACAATGATTTTGTTTCTGCTCCACGCGGCCTCCATTAGCAAGTTAACTAATCAATCCCGCAGAAATGCTGCTGCAGCCTTAATTTCAAAGCAATGGAGTGTACTAAAACGTTTGCTGAAGCAGCATCAATTGCAAAGCAATGGAGTGCACTAAAATGTTCACTGTTTTCTAATAGATTAGGTGAAAAATGCAATATTTTCGCATTTAGCAAAATTAAAACACGTTTTTCGCTGTAAAGTGAACTGCTTTGGCAGTTTCAACTCGTTCTTCTTTTCGCTCTATTCTTTGTTTACTTGTGTTACACAAATGTCAACGCCCAGGACGGCGCAATCTTGTATTCTATCATTCTTGACACAAGGTCTGAAATTTGCCACATATTCGCATTTTTGAGTAGTTATAATTAAGCTCCAAATTATTTTCTTTTTTTTTAATTTTAATAGCAAAAACACTGAACACTAAGTGATAACAAGTAGGGACACGAAACGAAAGTATCGATATAGTACTCGTTTAAAGTATCGCTGTAAAAATATGGGGTACCCATTTAATATCGTAATAAAAAGACTCGATATACCAAATATCGATACAAAATTCAAAAAATTTAATTTGAATATTGGTCTCATTTTCTAACAAAGAATTAACACTTTGCACTTTAATAAGTACATCACTGAAGGCGCGCCACATTTTGCGCTTTAAAGCGCAAAATATATCCATATTGCTTTACATATAAATTCCAAAGTAAGTACGACATAGATTTGCAAGAAATGGAACCGTAGCTAAGGCTACAACTCATGTTTTATTTGCGTTAAAAATTTGTTTAAAAACAATATAAACTACAAAGCTTTCAATAGAAATTTTAGCAAGATAACGTCACGTCAGATACTTCGGCTGATAAAAAAAGCAGGACAGATTTTTACATTTTGGAATTTGGAAAATTAACTTTAAATATTTCAAATATTACTACAAAAATGTTTATAAAAATAGTCGTGCCCAATTCCCCGAGTTTTAAATTTTGACGTCTTCGTTTTATTTTCTAACATATTAACATACAAATGTATCATTATTCACATTAACTTTGCAATGCACATTACGGTTTGATACGATATAAGGGTTGTGGTACTCGATTCCAAAAAATATCGATTGAAAATTATAGAGTAAAAAATTTTGGCAAAAATATCGATATGGTATCGTATCGTATCCAAATTCGTGTCCCTAATAACAAGAATGATAGTATGCAAGATTTCACATTCCCGGCGGCGATGAGAGTTCTCAAGTAAAAGTAAACAAAGTCGAATGAGAGGAGAAAAGAAACTGTCAAACAGTGAATTTTTTCAATTTCTCAATATTAAATTGTTGGTCAGGAGACGTGACGGCCGCTGTGGTGTAGTGGTAAGCAGTGCGCGCTTTCACTCATCAGCACCTGGGTTTAAACCCTGGTCAAAGCAACATCGCAAAAAAATAGAAAAAGGTTTTTTCTTAACAGCGGTCGTCCCTCGGCAGGCAATGGCAAACCTCCGAGTGTATTTCTGCCATGAAAAACAGTTTCTCATAAAAATACAATCACCGTTCGGAGTTGGCGTCAAACGGTAGGACCCTCCGCTTTGTGTGACAACATCAAGGCGCACGCCACAAAGCGGAGGAGAAGCTCGGCCAAACACTAACATATGTGTAAGCGCCAATCTATTATTATTATTAGACGTGATTTTATTGTCTTGCAAGTCTTTTTTTCTATTTTTGTAAAAAGTTTGATCCAAAACCTGAGATCTGCCACATTTTTCCTAAATCTACCACATTTTTTTTCAGAATCGTCAACACAAAATTTTGATAAGTCCGATCACTGCCTGGTATACATTTCAATGCGGTCGTGAACGTTGGTAGGGGCAAATAATTCCATTCGTATTCATATGGACAGTGTTGCCAGTTATCAAATTATTACTTTGTCGTTTAAAGTGTGTTTGCATTGTTCAACTTTGCGTTCAACTCAGAACAGGGTTGAAAAAAAGTTGAATTATTCACCATAAAAAGGTTTTTGCATTGTTCAACTTTGCATGCAATTTTTGTTTGAATGGCCTTTCAACTAATTGCTTTCAACAAAGTTGGTCGCCAGCCAACATTTAGCCATTCAACTTTTTTTTCGTGCAACCCTGCGTTGAGTTGAACGCAAATGTTGAACGCAAAGTTGAACAATGCAAACACTGCTTTAGCTTCGAAATTTAGGATTTATTTTCGTGGCTTTTTTCTAGCCTTTCTTATTGTCAAACTAGCATTTTTTAAGGACAATCCTCCACAATAGTTGCGTTCCAGCAGCAGTACGAATAGCAGGAATTTACAGGATTTTACAGGAAGCTGTTCCCGCACGACAACTTACATAAGGTTTATGAATGGCTAAAACAGCTGTTCCTGTAAATCCTGCAAAATCCTGCCAAACCTGCTATTCGTACTGCTGATGGAACACAACTAATATTTGTAATGGCACTAAATTATTGTACCGGTTCAGTTTTACTTGACGAAACGTTAAGTGAATATCACTCAGCGGCATCGCTCAGTCCGTCGAAGTTTACTCAGCGAACAGTTTTTTCAGGTGCTCTCAACTGTTCCTCTAAAACCAGGAAAAGCTTGTGGAACAAATGCAGTTGGGCTCCAAATCTAAAAAAAAAAAAATATTGGAATCGATAGAGATAATTGAACTGAGTATAACGGTATACTTCTTTTTTTGGGCAAACAACAACCACAAAAATTATCAACGGTTAAAGTTCAAAATAAGCTATTTTTGAAATCAAGATTTCTTAAAAACGAATATATGGATCCTGAAAATATTTCTCTCATTTAATAGGAAATTTGATTCCCTTTAATTTGGTATACGTACTTTATATATATGTTGTATAGTTCTTACAAAAATTTAATTAATGTAAAATAATTATAAAAAACATCTTTTGCAGAGAACACCTTTCTGCATAGGCGGCTTTCGGCCGTACTTAGGGATTATAACCCTCATAAAGTAGAATTTTCTTTCTGTCTTGCGAGGAAAAGGCACTGAACAACTTTTGCAGAGAACACCTTTCTCCTTAGGCGGCCTTCGGCCGCACTTAGGGATTATAACCCTCGTAAAGTAGAATTCTCTTTCTGTGTTGCGAAGAAAAGGCACTGAACACCTTTTGCAGACAACACCTTTCTGCGTAGACGACGTCGGCCGCACTTAGGGATTATAACCCTCGTAAAGTAGAATTCTCTTTCTGTGTTGCGAAGAAAAGGCACTGAACACCTTTTGCAGACAACACCTTTCTGCGTAGACGACGTCGGCCGCACTTAGGGATTATAACCCTCACAAAGTAGAACTCTCTTTCTGTTTTGCGAAGAACCGGCACTGAAGACTTTTTGCAGGGAACACCTTTCAGCGTTGGCGGCCTTCGGCCGCACTTAGGAATTATAACCCTCACAACGTAGAATAATCTTTCTGTGTTGCGAAGAAAAGGCACTGACCACCTTTTGCAGAGAACGCCTTTCTGCGTAGGCGGTGTCGGCCGCACTTAGGGTTTGTAAGCTTTTTTTTAAACTTGTATTACATTAATTTAATTTATGTAAGAACTATACAACATATATATAAAGTACGTATACGAAATCAAAGGGAATTTCCTATTAAATGAGATCAAAATTTTCAAAATCGTTTCAGTCGTTTTTGAGAAATCTTGATTTCAAGAATTGCTTATTTTGAACTTTAACCTTTGATAATTCTTGTTGTTGTTGTTTGCCCAAAAAAGAAGTATACCGTTATACTCAGCTAAATCATCTCTATCGATTCAAATATTTTTTTTATTTGAGATTTGGAGCCCAGCTGCATTTATTCCAATCTTGTTATTTCTTAGAACTCCGCACCCCACGGGAATGACGTCAAGCACTACATCGTGAGGGAGAAAGGTAGTTAGTCGCCGCTGCTATGCTGTAGCCATTCGGGGTCCTTAGCCCCTTCATCGTCTCTGTGACACATGCTGCCGACCATTTTTCGCTTCTTTATAGAGTAAACTGCACGACTGACTCAGACGTGAAAATCTCGCCAGACATTCTGCGAAGTTTGCATCTGG